TGGTAATCGAAGTGACACTTGTTTTACGTTCTTTCAGTTTCGGAAAAATTTCATACTGGTTACTCAAAGAAGTTTTCTTCAACATTAATTTATTATCCTTAATGGGGATAAACGCATGATAATTCAGTGTCCCTGGAATCAGTTTCGCACTGGAAATTTCGTCTTTTAATCTCAAGGAAGTTTCTTCGTAGTCAGATTTGCTACTAAAAAAACCTTCGTTTCTTTGCAGTAAAACCTACGAAAACTTCGACTTACGATAGCACAACCTCAAGTCATAAAAATAATAAATACTAATATTTAATTAATCAATCGAAACTTGTTGCGAAGTGCAAACCGTCACGGTTAGGTGTATTTGCTTACATCCAGTCAGAGAGACGGTAGCAGGCGGCGCGCTGCTGCCGCGCATGGCCCGGCCGCCGCGGCTCCCATCGTCTCGTTCGTCGTTTGAATACGTTATAAAAACGAAAAACTCCTCTTTTTTTATTGTCGATATCTACGTCAAAATGTCTCATCTTTCGATCGAGACTATCAAAAAAATTCCAAAAGTTGAAGATCATGGAGATAAAACGTGTTTTTTAAACAAGTGCATTTTTCGAGGTTATAGGAGCAAATTTTTGAAAAACTGATGCCACCACTGAAAAGCTGAGGAAAAAATACGTAAGAAAATGTTTTGGGATAATTTTTTTATCAAAGTTTTGACACCGAAACGACGAGTTGAAAACGTCGTGTTTGACGCCCGCGCGGGCCGTCCACCGCGGCGCTGGGACAGTCGACGTGATTCTCCCCATATGTATAGGGTACTTGGCTAGAGTGAAGAATATCGCTGGTTCAATTTTCGAGAATAATTTATAAAATTTTTTAGTAATTTACTTTCTTCGCGTATGCGCTTTGATGGTATAGTGAATAATACTCCCAAACCTCATTAAAAATCTGAAGCATTCACAAAATCAGATTCTTGCTTTTTAAAGTACCATACACAATATTTAAGTTACTAACAGTTGTTTCCAGTATTCTATATTCTATGCACTGAGCCTACACCACTCTTGACTAGATTTTCAAGACATGGTTCTTAATCATTTTTGCGATGAAAACTAACGATGAAAATTAAAATAAATAAATACTAAAATTAACACTTACTGCATTGACAATTGGCTTAAAATGTTTGGCAAAGTTTATGTATCGTAATATTTCAGCTCGAGAGTAAACCGTTTCAATGGTAATTGTATTATTGCAGTGAAGATCAACAATTTTCTTAGCAATTGCATTATCAATAATTTCATTGCATTCATCAATTAAAATAAAGAACAAATCAAATCTTGACATTATTGGTGCCGTCAGCATGACATTTTGTTGTAAAGATCTAGCTCTATCATAGCGTCCACCAATGGGATTCGCAGCTGCGAGAATAGAAGTACGCGCATTTAGTGTTGCTCTTACACCAGCCTAAAAAAATACATAAGTTCTATAAACCATTTCTTACACTTTTAATGTGATAAAGAAAGACAAAAATTACTTTTGCTATCGAAATAGTTTGCTGCTCCATGGCTTCATGGACAGCAACTTGATCTTTGAGATCCATTTTATCAAATTCGTCAATGCAGCAAATTCCATTATCAGCTAACATGAGAGCTCCAGCTTCAATGACAAAATCTCCTGATTCCTCGTCTCTAACAACAGCTGCGGTCAATCCAGCAGAGCTCGAGGCTTTTCCAGAAGTGTAAACAGCTCTAGGAGATATTTCTGCAACTTGCTTAAGCAATTGAGATTTTGCCGTGCTTGGATCGCCAACAATACAGACATTTATATCACCACGCAATGCTGTACCCTCGGTTGTGGTCTTTGATACTCCACCAAAAAGCATAAGCACCACTCCCTTTTTTACTTCCTCATTGCCATGAATCGAAGGAAACAGACTTGATACTAAGTTTTGATAGAGGTTCTTATCTTTGCTCATCAAGTAAATTTTGTTCCATTCTTCATTAGTCATCTGCTTCTTCATCAACTCTGGAGATAATTCATCAAGACCAATATCTAAGCTCATTCCACCGAACTAAAAAAATTTAGTAGCAATAAATATTTTCAATTACATAAGGCCTTAAATACATGTACACATGATTAATCTTACGCGCAAACTCGTGGGTGCAACACTGCAGCAAAGGAAAGCCATTTTGTAATTAAGATCTCGAACACCAAGAGATTTGAGACCCCTTATACCTTCAGTCTGTTCGCCTTTTTTATGTCTAGAGCCAAGTTCTGCTTTGACACCGGGCATAGCTAAAGCCCCAACATCAGGTACAACAATCAAAGTTCCAGTAAAATCGTATCTAAAATTATTGAGCATAAGCTTGAATTAATAATAACAAACTTGTATTAAAGTTATTTAAATTTCTTACGAACCTGTCACCAGCCTGTACAGTCTCAACATTTTCAGCTCTTAAAATGATTTCAAGAGATCTGGGTATACTCCCACGAGGTAACTCTTCTTGTGGCTCTTGGATTCGAATCTTTTGAAAATCAACAAATTCAGATTTATCAGTATTTAAAAGAAATCTTCTTCTATTACTGCATGCAGGATTAGAACAAATTGTAGGATTCGTAAACTGAAAAACGAACGGGTCATTCACTATTAAAGTGGTAAAATCAAAAAAACTAAATAAGAACAAGAAAAACAGTCAATTACTGCAGAGAATACCTTGAACTGTTGTTCAACATTTTTAATGACAATATTACAGTCCATACACAAAAACGAGCCAAGTACCAATTCGGGATGAAAAGGGTGCGTTCGTACCACTTGTCCTGAAATACGAACCAAAGTCCCAATTTTGGATGTGGTTAGCTCTCTAAGCTTATGTCTAGTTGGCACATCCACTAAACTAACATAGCATATCTTTTCTTTCATCAAACCACCTCGATCCTTAGCCAAATTGGATACAGCTTGACAGAGGTAAGGGTAAACTCTAAAAAAAAATGTTATTTAAATACAATAAAGTATTCAATTAATGAAAATCCATAATGCATCAGAAGACTTCACGATAACAAGACGGGAGTGAGTTCATATGTACTAAACTGGTACATGAAACATTTACAAATGCAAATCTGAGTCAAGAGTTATAAGAGTAGTATACCTATAATACTCCTCAATAATGGTAGTGGACAAGGTTTGATTGTATTTCTCGACATCCTCAAACGATACTTCAAGTGTACTGCGCTCTGGACAACCCAGATCTTTGAGTGCTTCAAGATGTTTGATTTCACCATCTTCCTTAAATCTGAACAAAAAAATCATTAGGAGGGGACAAATATACAGGGTAAAACCAAATAACATTACATAGCCTGGTGACTAAAATAGCCTCCATGATAAGATTTTGAAAATCCAAACAAGTTGAAGCAAATTATATTCTACATACATCAAACTTTTTACTGCTAACAAACAAGAATAAGGTCACTTACTCAAGAAAATGGTGATAGCTCCTTAATACATAATTATATTTTCAGTACAGATCAACAAAGAATTCAGACCTAGCAAATAATATAACCTACCGTCAAACGTACTTAAAACTATAGATACTAGTTAAAAAACCTTCATGTTAAAAGATTTTATCTTCGATGAAATGTGATGTTTCAAGATGCTATAAAAGAATATTGTGATTGCACATGATCTTACAATTAATTAAATAATGCCATGAGTGAAAACAGAAATACTGCACAGAGCTTTAAATTGGGTTGCCACCAGCTAACTGCTATAACCTCAAATTACAGGCACGATACAATTTAGATTAGACAAGCATACATGCTACACGGGAGCCACCTTATCATGAACAAATTGAGGTGTTTAAACAATTTTAGGATTTAGAAACTTACTCTTCAAGAAAATCCATAAACAGCTTTTGACAATGAACGCCAACCTCATCCCGAAGACGCTTTTGCTGAGACGGTACGTCAGCCAGGTAATCCATGCTTATTGCTTGAAAATATATAAACCGGTTCCTAAGAAATCCAGCGCGCGATAAGATAAAAAAATATGTATAACCCAATCACTCCCTTGTTTAGAATCCTGAAGATATCGATACTATTTATTTCACCCTTCACCCTTAACTTCCCCTGCTACTACTAATCTCTGCCCTGATGCAACACGCTAAAGATTAAAGGCCTACGCCCTACGCAGTAAAAAAACAAGCATGTGCACAGGCACAGCACTCTGACAGCACAATGCACAAGAATAACATTGGTTGAAAAATAGACTGCTCGTTCTTATGTACGACGCTAAAGCTCAAGTAGAAGGAGACACAACATCGAACGTGTGTGCCTGTAAATGTAGTACAACATCAGGGCCTGGCCATACTCTTTCGATTCCCTCATTACAATTTTTTTTTAAATATTTTACAGCCATTTTTTGAGAACTATGCCCTATAGGCTCTGCAATGCTGTGTTACTATGCATTTACATGCTATCGTTATTGGCATAGTGAAAAATCGCCTCAGATTTAATTGTGACATCAATCACTTACACAGCAAAGGGGACCTTATTTTACATTGCTTCCGATTCTTCCGAACCATTTGGCCACAGTTGGGGTGTAATCCGCAATCGCCGCCAGCAGTTACACATGTAAGACGTGACAACATCGCGTGGTTGGGGACGCTACTGTCGATATACTGGTGATGTGATGATCATATAGTGATCCGCAATTCCGCCAGCAGTAAAGCAGACGACGTCGATCTACTTGCTCTTTTTCGTGACATTTTCTGATTGTAAACAAAGCATATTGTGCTAGACGTAAACAAACACGCAGACCAAAAAAAATAGTTTCAAGTGCCAAAAAGAAAAATGAAAATAACAGCTTTACTGCTAGCGGGATTGCGCGGGATCACAGCAAATTATCGACTTATGCAATAAAAAAAATACTAGGCGACGTGTTTTTATCTGCACATTTCATTTATGCAAATAATTGGATCTGCACATGCCTCAATTTTGCATAAAAAAATAAAAAAATATTTGCGATTTGCAGGACGCAGTTGGATAGTGATATCTCGGCAACAAAGGCATATTTGCAACTGCACACAGTTTTAATAAACTGCACATTATCCGAACTTAATTGCACAATCAAAATTTCTATCTGCACAACCTTATTTAATTAATAAATCAATTAATAGGAATAATCCGTATTGTAGCTACGAGTACTCATGCACTGCGCATGTCCAGCTGTTGACATCGCTTATAGAGGGCGTCAAGCCTTGGGTGGGAAAGTTTAAAAAATTCTCAAACTTGTGCATAATTTTAGTAATTTGTTTTGTATTCAAAAATCAGTTCTGGTCCGTCATTAAATTTCCACCACGAATCAGGCCCCATCCAATAAAATGCCAGATTTTTTCTACGTCTTATGGATAAGAGTAACTTATTTTATCCATTCGGTACCTACAAAATAATTTCAACTTATTTCAAAAAAATTATACTTAGTAGCTACTACACGTCCACCTGTAGGTACTAAATAGTTCTAGGTCAACCAGAAGTACCTCATTCTTGGACAATTTAGGAAATCTTGACCCTTAGTATCTTTACATCAAGTAAATCCACCTACCTAACAATGACACTACCAGTAACAACAAACTGTAGCTCGTCCTGTTCAGCTAAAAATCAAATGATACGCAAGCAGATGGGTCTGCATCTGCAGGTAAACTTTCTCACCCAGCGCTGCCTTTTGACACAAGACCTGATCTTGATCTCCATGCCGACATTTAGCATACCCTTCAAAGTATTTTTACCAGCTATATGAGTAAATGAGTACATCAAATTTGAGGTAGTCAACTTTGCAACCTAGCTTCATGGTTAATGTAAAGTATATGTGTA